GGAATAAAATCTGTAGTGCTTGTCATATAAAACCACTTAATAAATATTTGGTTAATTAATACTGAATGGATTTTTGAAAGCATGGAATTATTAAACAAAAGTGTTATTCTGGTAATATGCTTATATTGGAAAACTTCTGATGAGAAATGCATTGGGAATTACCCAAAAGGGAGATTTGATAACGAGAGAGTTTATCTTACATCCTCCAAAGGGGAAATATGGAGACTTTATGAGCCAACAAGGTGGCCAAGTAATCCTGAAATTTAGATAATGACAGTAAATAGAGAACACAGTATATTTTCTACAGTGAAACAATTGGCAAGACTGAGAGTTATAGCAAAAGATTGTAGATGAAATGAAATTGAAAATTGAAATTGTAGGCGACTCTTTTCTCTAGAACTCAAGGAATGTTTGATCTTGAGATAAATCACTTCATCTCTTGATGTCTCAATTTAACTATTGAGTATATAATGAATGATTATTCTTAACTACTGCATGGGGTATTGTGAGACTTAATTTGCTAATGTTTATAGAGTGCTTCAGATTGTCTGATTAAAAGTATGAAGTATCATCATTATACTATAATAGAGCATGTGAAATTTTATTTTAATTTCATAAATATGAAATTACACCTTTCTACTTTCACTTAAAATGGTCTGAAATTCATACACATAGATTGGTGCATGTTTGAATCTAAGTCTCTAGGCAGTTAACTGTTCTTACAACTATCTTTAGGCCTCATCTGCATTTCTATTATTCAGAAAGTTCACAAGACTTTGACAGAAATAGATGTGAAAGAGCACAACTCCTTTTTTTTTGTTGTTGATTTATTGCCCAAATAAGTTGAGATTACTGTATTATGATTATTTTTTCTTTCTTTTCAACCTTTCATTTTTTTGGTGAATGCTTCCCTCATTGTTAAATGTGATTAGTTTTCTATATATGGCAATTTTCTCCTCACATTATTAAATATCCTCTCAAGTACAATTTTGTGCCCAATGAGTGGAAGTCTACAGGTTCAATTATTTCTTTCTGAGACACTTTCTGGTGCTCCATGCTCTAGCTTCTTTCTATCTAGGTGCTCCCTATCCATGCCTGCTGCAGATCTTAAGAATTCAGTGTGACACTCCTCTGGTGCTTCCCTTATTTTCTGAATGTATTATTTTAAACCTCTTGGTTTTCTGCCTGCTCCTCTAGAATCTTTCTTGGAAATGTGTATGGGAGGTGAAAATTTGGTAATATTGCCTGCAGAATGTATGTATGTATGTATGTATGTATTCATTTTAGAGAGAGAGAGTGAGTTGGGAGCAGGGAGAGGGACAGAGTGGGAGGGAAGAGGGATAGAGGGGGAGGGAGAGAGAGAATCCCAAGCGGACTCCATGACAAGTGCAGAGCCCAGTTTGGGGCTTAATCTCACCACCCTGAGATCGACCTGAGCTGAAACAAAGAGCTAGACGCTTAACTGACTGAGCCACCCAGGTGCCCTCAAACTGTCATTATTTTATTTAAAAACTTAGTTGATAGTTTAAATACAAAATTCCTGCAGGAAGTATTCTTCACTCAAAATGTTACAGAATTTCTACATTTTCCTTTAGTTTCAGTTTTGCCATTTTTACTTCTGATTTTTCTATTCTATGTATATATTATATATATATACATATATACTTATATATTTTTCTTGCCAAGTTTAGGATCTTCTTTTTACCCTTAGTGTTATGTAATTGCATGATGAAACATATTAGTAATCTTTTTTTCATTTATTGTACTTGGGACTCATAACTGCTTCTATATTCATATTCTATATCCATATTCTATATTCTATATTCAACATGTTAGGATATCATATATTATGTAACCACTGAAAAAGAGTATCAGAGTGAATAAGGAAAATAATGTTTTACTATAATTATGAAAATGAAAAACTCCTAAAAAGGCTGTGGGACTCCCTAAGACCTCCAGACCACAGTTTAACTGCTGCTGTATGTACAAACCAACATATACATGTGCATACACACAAAACCTTTTCTAGTATTATCTTGTTGTTGTTGTTTTTTTTGTCTTGTTTTATATTTTTTCTCCAGAATTTTTTTTTTCTCCTCTTATTTGTTTCATTTGTTTTGGTCTTTCTTTTCTATGCTAGAGGCTTTCTCAAATATCTGATAACATTTGACTGACAGTCCACAGTTAAGTATAATATACTGAAATCCTGATTGGACACTATGGTTGGGGAAAGAATTTTCAACTAATGAGTTCATCCTAGGGAAGTGGCTTTCAATCCTATTAGAAGTAATGACCACTATTTTTTAAAGCAAATAATTTATAAAGCTCCAATTACTATTCTGAAATGAGAAGCATAGTAGTACGACCTACCCTATCAATGCATATAACTTCACCAAAAGTAATATAATGTCATAACTACAAAGTAAAAAGGAAATAGAAAATATTTAATAATAAAATTATATGCATTTCAATGTGTAAACCATCAGACATGGCTACTCTACACTTACTGTGGACATAATGAGGTAATTATATGCTTGCACTTATTTGGAGAATCTCTAAAGGGGACAGCTGTGAATGCAAACTGATACAGTTGTGCTGCTGAGTAGCACTGATATCATCAATATCATGAGTGGCACTGGTCTTGGTGATGTGATCTTATGAAATGATGAAAAATTCTTGACTGAACTCCAAACCAAACAATATTCCATCTAGCTTCAATTTATAATTGCATCCCCGAAATACTGTCTTTGTTAAGGTTATGTCAAAATACATTGTGTTTATATGTAAAAAAAGTGTTGTTTTGTAAAAAACGTAGTTAGGCCCTAGTTACACACAGCTTTAAAAACATTTTCTTTTTCCTATTTGATTGTCTACTACCATATCAGAAAGTCTTTGGGGATGTGGGTTAATTCTCCACTGTGAGGGAGTTTCATACATGAGAAGATGTCTGGAATCTGACTCTTACCCATTAAATCCCAATAGTGCTCTCCCAATCACTACAACAACCTATAAATTTGCAACCCACTATTCAAAGAATCCCTGCTCTGCCATAGTCATAGCAAGAGCCTGAATTTTGCATGGAGAACCTTAAAGGCTGATTAAACCATCAGTTGCTCACTTTGTTTATAAATCAGACCTTCACCCTCTGAGACTTCTTTGTGTGGCTCTGAAATTTTCTGGCTCGGAGTCTTCTGTGACAGTGGGCTGGCTGGCTGGGTTGAAGGCTAAAGTTTGAGAAGTCTGGATTGCTGAGAGTGGTCAGGATTTACCTAAATGCCCAAGGGCTTATTACAGAAACTCTTAGCCATCTCTGGTTACAGGCCCTGTGGCTCCTGCCTTTTGTTACAATAGGTGCTTTGCAGTGTCCTCCAGGGAAAACTGGCTTCTTTCTCCTCACTCTCCTTTCTTCTTCTTCTTCTTTTTTTAATACTGTAATTTTATTTTTCTCAGTGTTCCAAGAGTCATTGTTTATGCACCACACCCAGTGCTCCATGCAAAACGTGCCTTCCATAATACTCACCACCAGGCTCACCCAACCTCCCACTCCCACTCCTCCCCAAACCCTCAGTTTGTTTCTCAGAGTCCACAGTCTCTCATGGTTTGTCTCCCCCTCCAATTTCCCCCAACTCACTTCTCCTCTCCTTCTCCCAATGTCCTCCCTGTCATTCCTTATGCTCCACAAGTAAGTGAAACCATATGATAATTGGCTCTCTCTGAGTGACTTATTTCACTCAGCATAATCTCCTCCAGTCCTGTCCATGTTGACCCAAAACAAAGAGGCAACTCACAGAATGGGAGAAGATATTCTCAAATGACACTACAGACAAAGGGCTGATATCCAAGATCTATAAAGAACTCCTCACTCTCCTTTCAATAGGCACAATAGTCTTAGCTTCCTCTGGTCTTTTTGGCCAGTTAGCTCTCCTCCATTTATTTTCATTTTTAAAAATTTGTTGACCTCTCTTATCTGCTGTTGTCTTTTCCCTGGGTCTCCTCCTTGAGGCTGTAAAGATTTTTATTGCCTTTCACTTTTGGAAAATAATAAAGTTTAAGAAATAGCATTTAATCAACAATATTGAATTGGAAGTCCCTGTATTAATTTTGTAATTAGAAAAATCAATATTGTTTAAGGCATGACCAACACAAAGGAGTTATGAAAAGGAAAGCCTAAGAGATTTCTAAACTATTACTTGCATTCTCTCAATTTTAACATCACAAATCTGTATGTCTGGACCACATCATCACAATCTCTGTTCTATTAGAATTGCCTTTCTAACAGAACTATGCCTTAACATTACTATTTAAGTTTTCACACACGGCTGATAAAAGACAACAGCCCTCTGTGGAATGTCTCTGCATTGTCATAAAAAGTGTTATCATGGCACTATTTATTATATTGAATGTTGTCTCCTCATTTTTAGATTTTTATTTATTTATTTCCACTCAGGGACCAAAAAAACTTTGTACTGGTACTAAAATTTCCCTTGTTTTTGTTTTTGTTTTTTTTTTTTTTGTTGTTCTGGAAAAAGAACATTTAAATATTATAGAACTTAGTTTCTATATTTCTCTTTAATCAGGATATTTTGAAATGGGTGGGGTATTTCTCTGACCTTTACCCTTTATGTTTTATGAACTGTCTTTTATCTTTTTCCATACATTTGGTAAATTGAAGGTATTCCATCTTCAGAAGTAGGAGGTAATTCAAACAAATCAATAAAAATAATAAATAAGTAAAATTCTGAAATTGTGTGCAATGTTAAGAGACAAGTATATAAGATGAATTTAGCGTAAACATAAAACAAAATTTAAAAATTAAAAAAATAAAAATAAAGCAAAAATAAAATTATTTTATTTATATTATTATGATATAATTGCACACAAATGGGATATAATTAATTCTACTGATACTTAGGAATATTGCTATTGCTAATTGCTATTTGTTAAGGGTCTCATCTTCTATTATCTCCTTTCACTTCTCTAAATCTCTCTGCTTACATTAGGAATGAAATAGCTGTAGTAAGTTGTGACCTCAGCAGCTTCCTCCTCTTCCTCAGGCCCAGCCTTTGCTTCTCTCTGTCTCTGGCTATTGCTCCCTATTTCAGCCATCTGGACATTTTGTGAAATCAGTGGGGAGGTAAGTATACTTTATCATATGACTCTCATGAAAAATAAAAGAATTAGGCATTTTTTACACATACACTGAAAAAAATGGAAAAAAAAATCCAGTCAAATTTAAGAAGAAAATAACAGGGAGGCATAAAGGCTTTGCTAATCTTGAAACCAGTAGAAGTTTGGGATAGTACAAATGTTCTTCCAGTTAATGGAAGATCTTTGGCCAAAAAAGTTATTATCTCTTTAATTCCTTTGTATCTGATCTAGAAAGAAACAAAATATGAAATTATATACATATTACATACATATAGCTTTATCTAAAATCAAGAAAATGTGCTACCTTTATGGTGTACTTCATTATAGTAATGATATACCTTGCTGTTTCATAGGACTTTATTATTTTTTATTTACATAATACCAATAGAGATTAGAATAACATTCTAAATATTAGTCAACAAGTTATTTGGCCTACGTTATGTCAAAAAATGAAGAATGTAATGCTTTCATCCAATTGACTACAATTATAAAAGGAAACCTACAACTCAAAAGCAAAAGCAAAACAAAAAAACCACTAAAAAATGGGCAGAAAATCTGAATTGACATTTTTTCCAAAGAAGACATACAGATGACCAACAGATACATGCTCTATATAATTTTTTTAAAGATTTATTTATTTATTTTATTGGGGAGAGGGGCAGAGGAAGAGAAAGTCTTAAGCAGGTTCTGTGCTCAGCAGAACTCAGACACAGGGCTCGATTCCACAAGCATAAGATCATGACCAGAGCAGGAACCCAGAGTCAGTCGTCCAACAGACTGTGCCACCCAGGCACCCCAGAATGCTTTACATTTTTAATCATTGGGAAAATGCAAATCAAAACCACAATAAGATATCATCTTACACCTATGAGAATGGCTCTTACCAAAAAGACTAGAAATAACACATGTTGCCAAAAATGTAGAAAAAAGGAAACACTGGTATCCTATTGATGGGAAAGTATATTGGTACAACCACAATAGAAATTATCACAGAGGCTTCTCAAAAAATTAAAAGTAGAACTACCTTATGATCCAGGAATTCCACTTCTGAGTATGTGTTTGAAGAAAATAAAAATACTGAGGTGCCTGGGTGGCTTGTTGGTTAAGCTTCTACCTTCAGCTCAGGTCCTGATCCCAGGGACCTGGAATGAGCCCCATGTTAGGCTCTCTGCTCAGAAGGGAGTGTGTTTCTCCCTCTCCCTCCCCTCTGCTTGTGCTCTCTCTCTCAAATAAACAAATAAAATCTTAAAAAAAAAAAGAAAAATACTAACTCAAAAAGCTACATGTATCCCCATGTTCATTGCAGCATTATTTGCAACAGCTAAGATTCATATAAAATCTTTTTTCATTCATAAATGTATGGATAAAGAAATTGTGGCATTTATGCATAATGGAATATTACTTGGCTAAAAAAGAATGAAATCTTGCTATTTGTGACAACATGGATGGAACTTGAGGGTATCATTCTAAGTGAAATTACTTAGAGAAAGACAAATACTGCATAATTTCACATAGATGCAAAACCTAAATAAAAGCAAAAACACAAAAATTAAAAACAATAAACAAAACAAAAAAAATAAAGTCATAATATAGAGAACATAAGGGATGGAAGAAATGGGTGAACTGTTTTAGTTTAGTTTGGTTTTACTTAAATATGCTGAATTTTAAAATCTTATAGCTATGTGAAAGCACTCAGCTGAAAACATAAAAACTATTAAAAAATTTGCCAGAATCAAATCTTGCTTGATTGTGACTCCAGAATACTTACCCCCAAAACACTGACATGATTTTATAATTTAAAAATTTTAGTGAACTTTAAAAAATATTTAGCACCATACTACTTTATTTGAAAGCTAAATGTCTGTGTTAGTTCTACATAGCAAAGCTAATTTAAATTGTTATTTTTTTGTGTCGTCTAGGGAAATGTATTGAAGAAAAAAGTCTCCAAAGATTCTTGCATTTATTAAAGGGACATTTAAAGGATGTCAAAGGATGATGAGACCATCATACAGTATCCAATATAAAAAGGCAAAGTTGAATTTTTTCCTCATTATTGTAAGGGAATATTATGCTGGAATTATGCAAAATCTTTCTAGTTCAGCAAACTACTAATTTTATATAGGGTTTTAGGGAATTCAGGGATTGGCAGATGTTCGAAAGCATGAATGGGTTGTCATCTGTAAATGTATGGTTACTTGGGTGTGTCTACTGTTGTTTGGTTGGTCCTCAGAGGTATATTAATTGGGGAAAATTTATTCCTAATTGGCTACTTCAAAAATAAAGACACTGTTGGTAGGCTAGCTTTTAAAGTGTGTTTAATAAAGTAAGTTATTTATTGATTGAAGTTAAACATAGTTCTGATAGCTTCTTATTACCATGGTTAAAGAATATCAGTCTTTTCCTAGGAGTGTGGAAACTTTTAAAACTCCTAATCATTATTTTTTTCTTCATTCAGTCAAAGCAGCAAGATATCATTAAGAATTGTCCAGACTTTCACCTCTGTTGTTGATTGTTCTTGAAGATGGGATTTCATTTCTGAAGACCTGATTTTCAGTTTGTGTCAACTGACAAAATTTCTTTTTTTCTTTTTTTTTTTTCATTGAATCACTTATTGAAACATCTGCCAGGACAATGGTTGTGCTGAAGACTTTGAGACACTGGACAATAAACATTAAATGACTGTGAGACAAGCAAGAATAATTAGAAATACTATAAGAAGGGACTAGAATATACTTTGCTACCATAACCTGAGACTTTTCAGGCGTGACCAAGAAAACAAGTCCCAATGTTCCGTAAGCTGCCTTTTTTATTAACTTAAATGTAGATTGTTTTATTCCACTTGTCATGTTAATTCAGGTATAACATGAAGTGTTAGTAATGGTTTTGATTGGCCAAAAATAATTCAACACCATTCTATCATCTATAACCATAACCAGGATTATGATGGCCTTGGGTGGAAGCTACTTTGTGTCATCTCTTTGTAAGGTTCATCTTACATTTCTGCTTTAATCATTGTAGCTATAACTATTTAATGATACCTTCCTAAATCTTGTGCCATACCTAATACGTTAGGAATAATTTTATTTCAAGAAAATGAAATCGTAAGATGTAATGTTTTATCAGTTTTTCTTCCATTTACCCTCAGTTCAAGAATTCTTCCTTATTACATTGTGAACGTCCTTGCTAGGTATCAAACTCTTTTATCAATGGCTATTTATCCATGACAAGTCTCTCCAGGAAAGCAGAAACCACTTCAATTATTACATCACAAAAAATGTAATGGAGTGAAGTGATTACACAGGTGAGGACTGAGCTGAGATGCCAAATGTGACATGGTAAGACAATCCACAGATCAGAAACAGAAGGAAGCCACTACTACAAGGTCAAAGGGAGCCCAAGCGCTAGTTTCACCTTTAAATACCTCATCAGTGGGACTGCTTAGTAGGAGCAGAAGCTGCTGAGGAGGGATAGTGTTGATAGAGACAACACTTCAGGCAGACAGGGAGGAGAAATACCCTGGCTTTTCTTTTCCTTTCACCAGCCAATATTTTGCCAAGGATGCTCATTGGAGAAGCCAGCTAACATAGGATCTTGAGAAATGAAACCCATGGATGTCAGCTTTCCTGGTGAGGGGAGAGTGAGACCCAAATCTTACTGGAAAGAGGCCTAGGATCAGCACTAGCCAGCCCGGGATCCTCCTGCTACTCAGCATCTACTCCCACCTTTCCACCTGCATTTACATCTCATACAACTTCACACCTTAGCATAAGTGAATCATTTTAAAAAATGAATCAACTTTCTATCACAAGTAGAGACATGCTGTCAGTCTCTCCTAAAAATAAGAGACCCCACTACATACTTTTTTGTTCTTCTAATCTCATTCCTAAGGACAGTTCAAGTCACTCGGTGTTTCATGGTTAATCTTCAAAAAGGTACACTAGCGGCCAGAAACCTTTCTAAAAGGAGGGCATTTGTAACCAAAGGAAACCATGAATTTACTCTAGAATCTTAGCATTATTATTCTCCTTTTGGGGCTTTCTAGACGCTCCCTATAAATTTTTATTTACTGGTAACACTTTGAGTATCATTGGTATCTGCTACATCAGAAGTCTTAGGCAGCAAGGCAATTTGGACCTGCTGGAGAGTCTTCTGCTCTGGATTCCATTTAAAAGTAGAAACCATATAGCTTTTCAGTAAATGGGGTAGAGAAACACACAAATGTGTGATATGTATTGTTCATAACCAGCAAAATACCATACTCTTCTCTTCCATAACCAAGCCCAACTGAAACCCTTGTTCTTTTAAGAACTATATTTATCAACATTGGATACTGGGTTATGATAAATTGCATTAGTCTTCCCAATCCCCTATCTTTTCTATAGGCTTGTCCTTTGCCATGGATTTTGCAGTTTTTACAACAAATACAGAATATACTTCTAAAGGAAGATCCAAATTCTGCTACTGCTCCAGAAGTGTTCATCCTGCAATAAATTCTCTGCATCTTCAGTAAATTCTCTGAATGCAAATCCCCAACACAGAGTTTGTCTTTCTAGGAAGTCAATCAAAAATGATTGGTGCCTAGAGTGGTTCAGACAAGGCAACTGTAAAATGAGATTTGGAGCTGAAACACTGGAGATAGGTAAAGCACGTGCTGTAGCAGTGCAATTGCTGAAAATTTCAGCAGTGAGATAAGTGTAGAGGGATTCAGTGGTGGGTGAAGTATTTCAAGATTTTGAGAAATTGAGGAGCACTAACTATCAGGACAATGGAATCAGAGGCCCTCTTGGAAGGCTAGTAAGGCAGGCATTCAAAAGAAAAAAAAAAAAACAGGGAAGGGTGAGAGTAATTATTCATCAAGAAAGTAGTATCATAGTCAGAGGGCCTCTTTAGTAGCATATAAAGGGACTCATCTTCTGCAGCTGGAGTACAGAAAATGATAGGAACAAACCCAGAATTAACTGTTAACACTAACAAAGCTTCTGAGAAGGTTGAATTCTCAGCCCTGGATAGACTGCTAACTCTTGTGGAGAAAAAAGTGAGAACCTGCAAATTGGAACTGGGCATATCTAGGTCAATGAAACACAAAACTTGACTCTCCAGATCCTCTGAACTTTGTGCTTTAGAAGTAGCCCAGTACTTCATGCTAAAGGCCACTGCTTTCTTCTCTATGTCCCTTGCTTGACGGAGGTGCAGAGGACTCTGTTTTGCAAGGAAAAAAAGACTACCCCTTCCAAATTTAGCCTTACCTGCTTCTCTTCTGGTTACAAAACCAATAACTAGGGTTATGGTCCAATATAATTCAGCTGAGAAAATGGTGTGCTTATTAAGGGGAAAGGAATTCCAAAGCAGCAATAGAAACTAGCCAATGCATATTAGCAGAAGTTGGGTATTAGCATAATATATACATATAATATGTGTATTATGTGTATATATAATACAGCCTAAGGGTGCAAAAGGATCAGGGAGCATGGAAAAAAACACTTGAACTGTGTGGCAGTGTTTTGGGTCAAGTGGCAAGCAGTGTGGAAGCTGTTACGGGGTGCTGGAAATGGTGAGAAAACTGTTGTAGAAGTTAGGAAAATGTGTTGTAATATTTGGAATTCTGTGGCCTATAATAATCTAGAATATAGAAAATGGAGGTGATGTACAAGTAGAGGTGGGGGATATTTCTTGAAGCTAAATGTTGAAAGCATGACTCTGATCTATGATAAGTCACTGAGAAATGTATGAGTCCAGAAGACAGAAGACAAATAATTAGTTATATGCCCTATATGTACAAGGCATATAAAGAAAGATCAAAAATAGGATTGAAAAACAAAATTGTTTCTCATCTATTCAAAGATGAGACTATTAAGATGCAGTTTTTAGGAAAAGAAGTGATTCATGACTTCAAAATAAAGACCCAGTCATGATTGTTGTTATGAACTGGGAGAAAAGGGAAGGTAAGTGTATGTATGAGGCAAAAAAAAAAAAAAAAATTTTTTTTTTGTGTGGTTAGAATGAGTGAGAAATGAAAGATCACAAAGTTTGGTTCCCTCCTCATTGCCCTCATAATCAAATCCAAACTCCCGACTATCACTTACAATGCCTTTCATCAACTCGTTTTAGTTCTCTAGCTTCGTCTCTCACCATTCTTTCCTTAAACTTCATGCTGAGCTATCTGCAACTTTAAACCTTAAACTTTAAGCTACCTGCAGCTTCCCCTATGACCATTCATTTTCTTTCATAGTGACCGCTGTCCTGACTTTGGACAGTTCTCCATCCCTTTTATTTCTCCTACTCTCACTGTTCTCCATCACTACTTATTCTTGTCCTACATATTCATTTAAGCTACTGATTTGATAACCAATAATTCTGATAGACTAACTATGGATTCCTGGAAGACTAGGTTAAGGAGCATAAAGTATGTAAGGACAAGTCTAGGGTTCATTGGATAAGCAATGTCCATCATATTGAAAGAATGGTGGCATATATACTATGTATTTTCCTTGTATTAATTGCCTAAACATTACTCCTTCTCATAACCTTCCATGAAGTTTCATTAAGAATTGGTAAGTGGTTTCCTATGTGCTTCTGTATTATTTTTTGCTTAGCTCTATCACAACACTTGCGTTGCATTGTATTTTCCTGTTACTGTGCATATCTTCCCATTAGTCAGCATTTTACTTGATAAAGAGACAGCTTCTTGTTTATTGGCATATTCTCAGTGTCTGACATGTGCTTTGAACACAGGAGTCAGTACATACTTATTAACTTGAGTTAACTTGTTAAACGAGTTAATTGAATTTGAGGTAGTTAAGAAATAATGAGGCTTGGTTGTTGGATGCATTGTTCAAATGTACATGATATCTTCTAGGTAAACAGGAAGTATACTTATAGGTATCTTGTAGGAATCTAACATGTAGAATTTAAGCACAAAAAAAACACGAATAGGCCATTGGATCTTTTTGTGTCTTTAATTGTATTTCTCTAATGTCTTGAGAGCCAAACAAAGTGTCAGCTTTCTGTCTTTCTTTTTTTTTTTTTTT